TATTAAACCCACTTCTATAAACACTTATACATAAATCAATTTATAAAAATCATACGCACTATTTCATCTATTATTAAATAAATAAATTATTTTTTACCCATAAAAGATATAACGAAACAATAAGTCTTAAGTATCACTGATGTGTTAAGAAATTTCAATAATATACCCGTATGTACATATATGTCGGCGCAACGATATATAAAACCATTATAAGTTAATTCGTATTGTAGTTGGAATATGTGAAGATTAGTAATTCTGTAACTTATAGTAAAATAACACTAAAGTAGTAACCAATTCGTAAACAATGTTAATCAATTATGTTTTCCATAACATATCAAGTTGCAACATAAAGATTGGATGTTATGATAATAAGAAACAAACAAAAGTTATGTAACGTTTTGTTCTTATTTGAATAACTAAAATAATTCATCCATAGCTTAATATTTAAAATTATAAAAGAAAGTGTAATTCATAAGGACACTTATATTCCCAAATGTTGACGGATGAGATAGAGTAGTGTGAGAGCCGTCCAGGAGTTAAAGTCTGAAATAAAGTACATAGTGAAGGTGTTTGTGAGTGTTTTATCAGTTATATCAAAATGAAAAATTAATAAGTCGACTGACGGCAGCATTCCTGACGTCGGACTTCTTAGAAATCAAATATAACATGGTGCTTCGACATATATTTTTGCTTAAAAGTGACTAACACTCATTATAGTTTAAATTATGAAAGCAGCTTTTAAAAACCTTAACAAGCGGAGTGCTAGCCTGAACTCGTTCATACTTTGCAAAGTCATCGTGAAGTCACCTAACGACTTAACTGTGTGACAACGTACACTTTTCCTTTTGAAAAACTTACCTAAAATTTTAACTACGTCAGATTTTTATAACCAGTGCTTTGATATTTACAGCAGATATATCTGATAAATAATTCAGTAGAGTTCTTCTCGTTATCAGAATTAATAATAGCTAACAGTGGGTACAGTAGTACCACTACAATTATGGTTGTGGTCTTTCAATTATGGTTACAATTTGATTATAACTCAATAGTATTTATCGGTTCGCCAGCGTTTCACGAAAATGTATTAATGAGGAATTGTCGAATATCAAATATAAAAATCAAATATTCAAAATTGTTTAATTAATTTGGAACCATTTCTTTTACGTTTTAGTAAACCTGTCACTAGCATATGTATTTATATTAAAATATATTAACTAATGGAAGAAAATATATCAAATAGAACGTGTTTTTTATAACATTATATATATATTTCTATGTTACGCTTCACATTATGTCTGTCGGTCTCTGCTGATTAAAACTGTATTCCTTAATTTAATTAAAAAAAAATTATTATTAAAAAACTATTATTCTGAAATTATAAATCGTTTAAGGTTAATAATAATTTTTAATTATTAATTCCCATATCAGATATAACATAACTAAAAAAAATCCAAGTTTAATCAAACTTAAAAACTTAATTGTTTATTTAAATATTTTTGTATCCATTTTTTAGATATGTATTTATTTAAAACAAAACAAAACATGGCTATTGTGCGATATGAGATCAATACCATTTATTCTTTATAACAACGTAGTAATTAATTTCAAGCTATAAGTAATTTTATTTGTCTACCTATTTAGATCTGCTGGTAATCAATTTTATGTTCTGTTTTATCTTTAATTCCTAATCTCCTAAACTAATTCTAAATAATGAACCTAGATTAATCATAAAATTTCAAATTCTTAGATTAATAATAATCTGTTAAAACTAGTTATATAATTTTCTTTTAATTGTCATTCAAAGAGAATTAGTGGCTTGAATGAAGAAGAGCTAAATAATTTATACATTTTTGACACTTTTATTAAAAAACTTTAATATTAATGTGAGCGTTTTAAAAATCTAGTGTCATTTGTTCCAGACGACGTACTTTAACAAAAATTTTAATTTTTAATTTAGATTCATTATAAAATATTCTTATATTTGGATAGTTTCAAGAATGGCCTGTTTGGTTTTGAGTATATATACCTTTAGAAGTCACTATCCTAGATGCAATGAATTCTAATCACTACTTCTTCTTACCTTTATGTCATTACAAAAGAACGAATTGCCTTATTTCTTTAAGACAGTAAAGGAAGCCATTACAATAATCTATTTCTACAAATATTTTTATATCATTGAGATTGGCTAGAACATTTTCAGACGGGAAAGTTTTATAAAAATACTGGAATTTTCATCAATTTATTCATAAGAAAACATCAATAACCAAGTTTGAATTCCTTTCAAAGTAAACATAAAGTCACAATATAATCAAAATACTAAATTTATTTGAATTAAATAAAAAATAAGTTTTAATTAGCTATGTCAATTTTGGACATAATCAAAAGATATTTTACTTAACACGAAGATTTACCTTTATTTATTTGAGGATTACTTTAATAAATCGTTACTTTAACCGAGGCATTGCAATATTGCTAATAATAATTACATAAATTCCTGAAGATTTCGTAGTTGGTAGAAATTTTTAAATTTTGCGATAAAAATTAAAAACATTAGCCTTTTTAGTCTCCGACAAAAGTAATTTAAATTACAATTCCGATTATATTAAACAGCGAAGTTTTTAATTAAATCATGCAACATTCAACAAAAATAAAATACCCAATTAATATTGTTCCTGATGTATAATGCATGTGATAAAATTATATTACCTTAATTCTTTAACTTGTTAAATATGTCCTGAGTAACTAATTAGTTAGCAAAGATCATGAAATGAGAAATAAGATTACAGTTAGCAGATTATCCACTACAGTCTTGTTCAGGATAAACTCATTGTTTATTTTTAATTAGTATGTTTTCATGCTGGTGTATTAAACGTTTTTATCCCGACATTGTATGCCATCATGTACACGTTCTCTGTAATTATATTGTAAAATGAAACAGAAATTTATTCAATTATTTGCGTGTTTGAGATTATTCTGTAATACCCTTTGTTGAAAAGCTAATACATCCCTGCTTCATGTTAATGTTTTTGTTGTTTTAGGTCTATAAACAAACATCCTTATAATCCTTCAATTATTTTTCTGTATATAACAAAGCGAGTTAAACATAAGAACAACTTTTTAGAATTATATAATATATATTTTATAAACGAAATAAAATTTTAAGAAAAATATATTTAATTGGCTTACGTTAGATATAACACGAGGTAGGTTTCTGCTTATAAATGAAATTAGAATTATATTATGTTACTAATACTATTAAACTATTATGTAAAGAAGAAATTATCATTATAAATTAAAATTCAAGTAATTTTTGCGCAGTAGAAACTGTTTTTGAACTTAAAAATTAAAACAATACTACATCGACCCAATTAAGCTCGATCCCCAAAGATTGTTTCTAAAGCCACCTTTACATTACGCCATCAAAACAGCTTTCACTAAAATACAGAAATTTTCTTTAAACCGGTTGCTACGTGCCCCAAAATTCAATGACGTTGCAAACTCTCAACAACAGAATAATAATTTTACCGCACAATTCAATTATATTTTTTTGGTTGAATTAATTAAATTTTTGCGATATCTTTTGTTTGTGTACAAGTGTACTTGGTCATTGGTATCTCGGTTGAATTTTATTTGTATCCTTTGTGACATTTTATACATATATATATGTATATGTATATAGTTTTTAATTAGTTTTAAGTTATAATAAAAAAATACGCTTAAAATTATCTAGATAGGTTTGTTTCAATTGACGGCTTTTGAAATTACTCGTTTTCGTGTTACAAGTAGTCTTCATAAGGCCACGTCAAAGAGTTTGTGTATGACAGCAAACATCTGTGAAGGTTGGAGTTTCTTTTCGGAATAGTTGCCAAAGGCTATTACGTTGTAGTGAAATGTATGTAGTGTTTAGTGTTATATTTAACCCATGATTTTCAATATTTATGGGATAAATGATAAAAAATGCTTCATCAAGACGAGGGTCCAAAATAATAATTTGGAGCAACAATTTTGCAAGTCACTTTCATATGATGTATATTTCAACGGAGGTGGATATTTTAGTTACAAATTGGCATTTTAAAAAGATCATCGCATGTTTTTGCCTCATATTTTCTTCTCTAAATATTTTTTTAGAGGATAATTTAATTCAATACACGAGTTTTTCGGACACACTAGTTTTTATTTAACCTGTTGCAAATTGATTATTCAATAATTGATTTGATTCGAATGGAAGAAGTAGCCAATAAAAAAAACCTTATTAAACTACAAAATACTTATTTTTTACACTTCATATGCACAAAAAACTCTCCGCTGTTTTAATAATATGCATACATATAGTATTATTACTTTTATTGAGGATGATCGAATCCTTTAATACTTATGATGATCACTTTATTACAACAGAGCCGAAAACTTGGTTCTCCTCCAAGTAACTGGAAAATATACAATTAACAATATTGTTGGATTTAAATGCCAAGGATAAGTTAGCGTTTGTTATTTTATAACATTATGTCAGCATTAAATAATAATATTATGGTGAACTTAAGTTTCTAAAGATTATCAAGTAATTAGATTCTAATTAACATCGCCGACGAAGTTGTGGAAGAAATTTGCATAAAGCAGCCAAATTTTGGTATAAGATTTAGTAATTTTAACTTACAGAAGATGGACTTGTGGGTTATGTAATAAAATAAGTGGCAAATAATAAAGTCAAAATTTATAATTTTGTATCATATGAGCTAACTAATTCAGATAAAATTTTATATTTTGATGAGCTGCATGTTCTTCGAAAAAATCCATAGAATTAGGAATCTTATCTAGAAAAAAATACTTACATTGTCCATTTTTAACGAGAATTGTAATCTTACTAACATTTTATTACCATATTCGCTTTATTTAAAACCTATGAAAGGTCAGGCAACTCAGAAAGTTATTACGAAAAAAAGGGTACAAAAAAACAACCGATTATTATAAATTTGAACCATTTATTATAATATATTATGAATTTATTGCAAAACAAGTTGTGCCACTATACCAATGACTAGGTATCGTGATATGGCCTGACGTCCTACGCCTTGGTGTAGCTCCGCTAAACTCTCTCCTGTAGAGACATTTGAAAGATAAGCATGGCTTGTTGCTAATGGGTATTATAGAATATCTTTAGAACAAGATTCGAGTTATTTTTTGTCACAAATACCTTATTGTCAAGTTCTTTCAAACGAAAGAGGTCTGGAGTATTTTAGGGTTTAGCAATAGCCACGGATCATTTATTATAAGCATCAAGGAAAATAAAAATATAATAGACAAAAAATCTAACATATATTTTTACCTTTGATAATGTGTAACATAACATGCGCAGGCGCAGGTGGTGGAGGGGGCGTGCGTGCGATGCTGCAACTGTACTGCCCCCCATCGTCACCTCTGACGCGCGCTACCCGAAGTACGGAGCTGGCGCCGTTAGGGCCAAATTCCGTCCTTACACTAGGCAAAGATCATTGATTAATCAATTTATTAATTAATTAATTATAATTAATCAACTTCACAAATAAGAAGAGAGCCTCAATTTGCATAAGTTTATTTTAAATACTAATTTACAATTAATTTATGTTTTGGCATTCTATGTTCATTAATCTCATTCAAAGTGATATTTTAGAATAATTGTAATTAGAAAAGGCCTGCGAAAATTTCTTGAAGCGTATGACATTTAAACGAAACTAAGTTTTTGGGATACTACACAAAATTGACTTTTTCATTTTGGTTCAATGAAATTGATGAAATTTCATCTTTGTTCATATTTGATTGTGTAGGTCTAAAATAATAAAAAATCCCTTAGTATCCGAAAAAAATTACTTTCATTTTAATGAATACACCTAAAATTTTTGACATAATTTTCGTGTGTCATATCATTAAATATTATTGAAATTATTAATGAAATATAAAAATATTTCATTGTGCTCGAGAGTAATTTTTGCTTATTTCAATTAAAATAAGTATGTTAATAATTTTATATATTCAATTTTATATCTGAATATAAAAAACTTATATAATCAGGAACCCTTTTTATTATTAACAATTTAACATACTATATATGTATAAGACTTTACTAAATATTATATTTACCTAATTCCTCCTCTAGTGGTATCATCATTGAGCAAATCATCTTTCCTATACCAAAGTAATGAAGGTCCACCTTCCATACGCAGGCCTCTTACTTCACATCGCAATGCAACCGTACTTCCAAGTTCGCAGACTTGTTCAGAGACTGGGGCACCAGCTCCATCTACTATCTGAACTGACACTTCTGTAAAGACAAGCCAAATTGTATTAGCATAAGACCATAGTGTCGATATTGAGGTTTATTCCATATCGCTACTCTTTTATTATTATTATTTAAAGGTAAAATAAGTATATAAAGATATGCCAAAAGTCAAGGTGTCATATGTATAAGCAAGTTATTATAATCTATTATTTCTTCTTCTTCTTCCTGCCAATTTCTCAGCTTTAGCCACGTTCTGCTTATATGTTGTAAATAGTTTTGGCTAATTGTTTTTACGACCGGCCGCCTGCCTAACATCAACCCTTTTTGGGAATGCATTAATCACCATGCTTGCTCAAGACGGGTTGGTGATTTCAAACTTATAATTGTGAAATTATAAGTCCAGGTTTCCTCACGATGTTTTCCTTCACCGTCTGTCAGCGGTATCTAAATAGTGTCTCAGTAAGTACTTATGACTCGGAAAAATCACATTGGTACTTTCCCGGGCCAGGATCGAACTTGCGCCCTCATGCATGAGAGGTGGACTTTTAACCACTAGGCCACCACTGACTTATAATCTATTACTTTATACATCAATTGTTAATACATAATTGAAGTTTTAATGAAATATACATATTTAAGTCTTGTTAATGTAATGGGCATCATATTCCTTATAATTTATTCATGATATTCATATATCAAAGCAACATCAACGATCTCATGAAACACGGAGATTCTTTAAAAAAACAAAGAGTTTTCGATTTATTTATTAATGTATAAGGGTTGTTTGTTTTGTAACAAAATTGAATCATAATATTGACAGTGGGAACTTTTAATAAAGGTTATTAACCGGGACATTGTTTTCGAAACAAAAGGTTATTGTTTATCTCATATTTTTACAGTATGTACATACTATGTCAAGATAAAATAATGTAGTTTTCGTAATTCATAAGATGTTTTTTTTAAAAAGAAATGTATTTCATATTTGACGAAATTAACTTGAGTCCTATTTGGTACCTTAAAATTTTTTTTATTACATTTTTAATATGTTGTTGTTTTAAACTTTATTATTTTCTAAAGTAAGCATCTATTCAATGCATTAATGTGTTAAAATGACTCCCGCAATCGTTTTACTACTGGGAGTTTTGGAATTTCTGAACTGATTTTAAATTTACAATCACTAGTTAATAAATAAATCAATTTGGTAAACGAATATAACATTTTATCCCCGAAATATTTAAGGTCCTATAAGCTTAATCCTGCCTGGCTTACAGTTTAAATATTTCTTTAAGCATATCAAACTACAGTGGTATGTACTGCCTAGTGAAGACTTGGCACAACAGCTTTTTTCAACAGTATGTAGAGTACCAATTTGTTGTATACTTTACCAAACCCTTATGCAAAACGAATACAATTTATAAGTAATTCTATTTAGAAGCACATGTTTATTAAATGGCTTAAATGGCTGTATTTTGAAATTTGAATGAGTTCACTGCCGTTATATTAAATTAAAATATATCGGCTTTTGTAAGTGTAGATTCATTGACTTGCTATATGAGCAGTGACATGCAAAGAAGCTAACATAATTTTTGGCGCTTCCTTTGACATCATCGCACAAACTCTTTGTGATTGTTCTCAGTTACTTCAGCATTTTTATTCATGAAAAGAAATAGAAAAAAAATAAAAATACAAACTTAGTACTCTAAAGTCATTAGGTAACTTATTTCAGTAAAGATTTTTCTTTTTATAAAGATAAAAGTCAATATTAATTTTTTTAGTTCCTTAGCAACCACAAAGAACTTAATTTATAACAGTGTTACACAGATCCTAATAATTTCATACAAACCAGAGTATTTAAGAGATTTTAATTACAATCTAAATCTAATTTATGACAGTAGTTTTGCAATCGCAACGCATCGAATTAATATTTAAACAGATCGGAATTAAAAAAAAAACATTTTCGAATATTACTAACTCTTCATAATAGCTTGCAGTCCGCAGCCACATTATTTTAATTTATTACAAGACCGTACTTATTCCTTTTATTGAAAATACCACGTTTATGGAATACAAACGTTTATAGAATACAAATATTTTTTATTAAAAACATATACGAAATGTTCAGTAGCGTGAGTTATGTTTACCAAGCCCGTCTTCACGACTAATTTTAATTGAAAGCTATGTAGTTATTCTGTACAAAAACTTATAGTATTACCCTACGAAAAATTTATTAAGGAGTCCAAATTAATTATTTTATAAGAAAATGAAAGTGGTGGTAACTAATAAAAAAAGGTTATTCTAGCACCTTAAAGGTAATCGATTAATCACAAGTCAATATAAATTGTTTTGAAAAAGATCTTATTTTTTTTATCACTGGACTAAATACAAACACACACGGACATTAATTTAAAACTTATATTACTCCTTTTTTGCAGTTGTGTATAAAAGCACATAGATAAATTCTACAAACATAAATAATTATTCGGAAAAGAACTGAAAATTTACATCTCTGGACGAGACAAACACACAGACATTGATGTTAAAAGTGAAATAAACCATAATTGTAGAAAACACGTTGTTTAAATATGCAAATTCTATTTATCTATTCTAATTTAAAAGTAATTTCATGAACCTGTGTTCATTCTGGTCAATAAATAAAACTTTCTCTTATTTTATCCTGTGTGAATTACATACCTGGAACTCGTAAAGTAACCCTAGCTGTTCTGGGTGGATGGGCGGATAATTGACAGTCATAAAAAGCCGCATCGGTCGGCCTAACTTCTTTTATTTCAAGCCGCCAAATATCAGGAGGGATGAAACGAGCTGAGTACCTGAAAGATAAATAAGTTATCGTTCGCAAATCTAATAAGAACCACGAATGCCAAACCAAAAATGAAATTGAAAATGTGTGTAGTTAGACTTATGATTTTAAAATAGTAAGGGAATTAAGTTAGTAATATTGCTGGAACATATTAAAAAAATATGTAATTTTTCATCATCATAATCTATTGGGAATTTCGTTGTATGTCATTATTACCTGTCATCGGCAGTATACTGCTGTGTTCCGGTTGTAAGCAGTTCCATTGCTTCTTCGTCATTTTTTCGACGCACCCATGACACCTGAGGGAGATAGACTTATAAAATATTCATGTACCAAGAATATATGTATAAAATAATCAAGATTTTGAAGTTACTTCAGGTGTTTTAAATACTTTTTAAGACAAAGAAATACTCTCTGAAACTTTTAAGAATGATGACAAAATATTAATGTTCAAATAGTACAAGTTTGTTTGATGTTTTTGTATTTCTTCTGTTTTACTGATTTGTTCTGCGTAGCGAAATAAAATATATTTCCCCAGAGAAACCATTCTATCTGATTGAAGTGAGATCACAATCCAGATAATCTTAACCTTTATTGAATGACCTGTTTAGCATAAAGTTAAAATAAATTCTAGAAGTAATTCAATAAACCTTTAAAGTTAGATCTGGTAAGCACCCGAATTATTCGAGCGGTAATGTATATCACACTTCAATTAGCAGAGACATCAATCGGCTGAGCTATAAATGGTAATTAGTATCAAGCAAATTATAATGTTCATGACGATCTTACATATATATTAATTAGAAATATCCACAGGAATAACATGATATGTGAATTAGGTAGTGTTAAAATTAGTTCACATATTGTATAACGATGGAGGTCGAATTAAGTTTTATACTCACTATTAAGCATTAATATTATAAAAACTATTAAATTTTTAATTGAGTATTGGGATCTGGGTCACCTTTACAATATTTTTGTCTTATTACAAGTATAAAAAATCATACTGCAAAGCAATTGAATTCAAATAATCACGGTAAAGTTTTGTCTGAAATAAAAATATTTACACATTAATTAATATATATATATTACCAGTTTGTCATGGAGGGCATCTACTTTACAGTCCATGTGGGCTGTAGAACCCACGAGTGCTTCGATTTCGGGACCGGCTGCGACGTATATACTATTACCGTTGCTGGTTCTAAAAAATATACTTAGACTTATTTATATTAACTTTAAAATTGTTAACGTATTTTGTAAATGGCTTCAATGCAGTTTATAAGAAGTATTTAATACTATGTGATTTTTTTACTCAAATGGTTGCTTGGTTTTTATATTTTATATAAGAAATAAAAAAACATATTCGTGTATTTCCGCCTTTTTGTTTGTAGTTACGTAGATAGTCCTACGGATTTCTTTATCTAAGCCCATCAAATATTGACTAACTACATAATTGTTCATGAAAGAAAAACAGTAACTCACAAAACAATTTATTTACGTTTCCCAACCCTTAGCTAGAAGTAAACCAAAGTAACAACTATGTTAACAAAATTACTATTGGTTCGCTTAATTAAAATCAAAGCTCAAGTAAATGTCTATATTGATGTTGAAAATTATAAACTATCTGTACCGATTGTTTGTGAAATTAATTAGATCTATGTATGCCGAAGTTCTGATGTATATAGTGATTTGAATTTTGCACATTTTACAGTCCATAAATCAATATACATATAAGATTGATATTCGTAATTTAAATGGAAACATGAACATTCTTTATAAGATCCTATAAACTTTAAAAAGTCCGATTAAATATACGAGTTTAAGAATAATCACTCGTTTGTATTTTAATTTAAATACAGACACACTAAAAACTGAATACGAAATTGAAAGGGGATATTTCATAGAGGTTGAAAATATAAAAGACATAATTAAGTCCCGTACATGCAGAGCATACTGACTACTAATCGTATACAGGTAACCTTGTTGCAGTCAGCGCTATCTTGTTAAGGAATTAGCTATGTTTTCGAATGATTTTGGTAATAAAATGTTATTATTTCTAGTATCTATAATTTCCAATAATGAAGTTCACCGATTCGTTCCTATAGATTGTTCTGGCTACTTAAACTTCAGTAACTTAAATACATTTAGTAATAAGTTTTTAATGAAATTATAATATTAAATTTGTTACATTAAAAATACTTTTAGAAATATTTACTAAAAAAATGCTAGTAATGTAATAACCGTTGTCCTATCTTTAATTATTATAAGAACCTGATCTACCAATTATCATTAATAATGATATTCATTACTCATTCAGTATTAAACTAACTCCAAAATAATTAAGGAACAAATTTTACTATTAATGACTGTAAAAAGAATAGTAATAAAAGTCAGTACTGTATCAAATGTGAACTTATACTTACTTTTCATTCCGATGATAGTGAGTGTTGGAATAAGTATCGAATATATAATTCAGTAATGGTGCACTTGAACCAGATACACCTGACTTCCTTTTTCTCTCCATGACCACTGGACTTGCGACCGATGTACCTGCTGTTGGATTATGAAGCAGCGTGACATTTTCCACTGCGTTTTCATTCACAAGTCGCGGATTTCTAACTCTCTTGTCGTCATCTGTCTTTTTGTTCGTAGCACCATCGTCACTTGAAAATCTGTGTGTGTCATTCTGGCAGCATGTAAGTCGTGATTTTTCTATGCCAGTTTCGAAACTGTGTAAAACTGGTGAAGCATTAAAGGACAGTTTAGTTTCGTTATGAAGTTCAGTGCTAGTGTGTAGCATCTGATATACTTTGTTCAGCATTGGTTGCGGGTTTTTTTGTCTATTTTCGTTTCGTATTGTCGAGGTGTCTGCATCTGTTCCTGTAAAATAATATTCAGTTAAAGAGTTAAAGTTAAGTTTATTATCAACATATGTATCATTTTAATTCCTTCAGATAATTACTTTTTTACAAGTACATTTTTTATTTAGCTTACTATAAACACACTTTTTTTTATAGAACAGTAGAAGACCCGGCGAACTTCGTATCACCCTATAATCAAGAAATATTTGTTACGTTTTTTTATTTATATTTTTGGAGAATTATTGACATATTAGTTAGTTGTCAAATTTAATGTCCAGAAAAAAAAACGTTTGTATACACAACTGCTAATAAATTAAAAAATAATTAAGAGAACATTGTCCAGCGGAAAAAATTGTGAATCTAAACCATTCCCAGATCCCCTTGAACACACGCAAAACATTTCATCAAAATCGGTCCATTAGTTTGTGACAAGTTCAGTGACATACACACTCACAGAAGAATTATATACATATATAAAGACTAGTGTAAACGGAATTTCTCCAAAAAATGTTAGTCTATGTCTTATACTGATATCTTAGTTTTATTATTGTAAAGTATCAAATTCCGTAAAGTGAAACATTTGCATTAATAAATTTCTCTTATACTCAAATTTTGTAGATATAAAAGGCCTTAAAAAAACATAGCAAGCATATATGTTGAACAAGAAATCATTGAAGTATTTGTATAAAATTAATAAATATATTACATAACCTAAAGAGACTGCAATGCTTTTGTAAGAGTAACATTTTACAAAGACTGTTTTCTTTCCCTTTAAACAACGCGGCAACGTTTGGAAACTTCCCTCAGGAGATTCTAACGTGGAAATTCTAAACGTGTTGAAAACTTTCAACAGAATTGCCAAAATACTCAAAAGTACTAAGAAGTTGAATAAAAACTACTAAATCGTGTTTATTGGAGTTTGTAAGTTACTTTGAACTTGATTTTTTCTATTATTATTTTTGTAAATGCTCTGCAATATATGTATGTGTCTATGTAGCTCGGGAACATTTGGATTTCACACAGTACAAAATATAAAGAATATTTTTTATTATATTCAAACCATCCATTCTGTAATTGTATGAATCATAAATGATATTTCGGCAACGCAGCTTTCAGCTTTGAGTAAACCTTTTGAAAAGCTGAGCATAGAAAAAGTTTAAAAGGTATTTTTACGCGGTATTTTTTTCATTTATATAAGTATCAAAATAAAGATTGAATTTTATTTTAAAAATACTTCTGATCCCTAATGTATTTGCTTAAAGCACGTCAAAAAGTATTATAAAATTAAGAAATATTTTATTGAGTATAGAAATACGTGTATGTTTCAATAAGCAATCTGTAAACGTTTGAATAAAAAATATAACAATAGCTTTGTACTTTTATCTCAGAGAGACACTAATAAAAGGTACGCTCAAGTTTCCTCTTTCTGTGGTTAAATATGTCATAATGATATTTCGAATTCGTTAGGACTTATGTAGATATAAAATGTATAAAAAATTGTATAATTATTACATTTCGCTAAACTGCTAGGTTTACTTTCAATCGTATCTTATATCATTTTGATCTAACAATTATATATAAATTTAATATAAATTCTTATAAAAATACCGCAGTCGGTAACCGCAATGAGTCATGTCTTCTTAAATTAATTTCCTGCAACCATCTTTATGTAAATAAGGCCATCAAAATTTCCACAGCTTAAATCCTAAGCTTTTTGAACTTACTGAAAATAAATATTTATTCAAAGTAATGGGCTCTCATATTTTAATTAAAGGCGAATACATAATTTAATTAATGTTTTCGGCGAAACGTTTCAAATGCTTTCAAAGCGAAGTAAAAGAAATGCGTGGCATTTTAATTCCACTTAAGCCTTGCCGGATGAGTTTGGATTAAATGTTGAGGCGAATAAAATGATGGAGGAGAAGAATTCACCTCTTTTATATTGCATTACGTATTGTATTGTGTCTATTTTATTATAAATTCAAAATTAAATAGCTATTCAAATGTCTAGTGCAAACTGCGTCAAATGTCAATTATTGACTTCAGACAGTCTAAAAGCATTTTTATTGTAACGTCTTATTATAAAGCAAGAATGTAATGAAGTAATGTTGTAATTCGGAAGTGCTTAATTTATATATATGGATAAAATTGTACAATACAGTACAGTAACATTACAGTTTAGGAGTCAGGCGTCTGCCATCAAATATGTTGTTGTAGTCAAAGTTACCTAGGAGGATTAATCCTGTTTGCTTTAGGTTATAATATTCTAACTTGTGGCAACTTTTCCGATATCTTACTTTGCTGAAGTGTTTTGTTTTTTGAAGACTAATACCACATTTACGGAATTGATATCATTTTGATTTATAGATTCTACATATATATATATGTAGAATAAATATGTATTGTACATATGTTTTAAAACAAAAAAAAAATTTAGTTTTTGACGACAATATTTAATTATTTGGGTTTCTTGAGAATGTTTTTGATTTATTTCTTTTAGAATGTAAATGTATTTTTTAATACCGTGATTCTTATCAGTAAGCTTAAAATAATATCTTTTATTAATACTAATACATTAAAGTCTTATTAAAAAATATGTTCATTTTACATACTGTATTTTATAAATGAAGAAAGGAAAAGTTCTATTTTTATTTACTCTCCAAATGGGTATACTAAAAGAAATCTTTATACTGCGTGTACATGGATGTTTGCAATTTCCAAATTTCGTTATCTTCTCAAGGGTACGGTTTTCGTCAGGCGCTTCAACGCGGCCTTTGATCAAAGCTTGAGAACTATATTGAAACAGAGGCTTTCGTTGCTTGAATTTATATGTAGCTGCGAGACTTATTTTGACGTAGGCACTTCGTTTCACTAACTGATTTATGTGAAATAAAATTTCACTTTAAAAAACCATTTGGCTTTTTTGCCTTAAAAATTGTATAGCAAAAAGTGAAATGTAAATAATTTTAGTACCTTTGCATGGAAGTGCAGCGAGTGCGGCTAAGAAGAGCGCCGCGGCTGCCGGCGCGCACATTTCTGCTACATTCTTGTTAACACTGTAAGAAAAATAGATGAATGTAACACTTAAAAATTTTAAGACTAGCATAGAAACCTCAGACATGTAAGAGAAATAAAAATAAAATTGCATACTTTTATAAAAAGTTATAAATATAGGTTATTACATTTTGTCTTTATGACTTATCCTTATCGAGAAGTTTCACAATATTCATAAAATTAAGTAATTCGATATCAAAGACAATTTAGTATTTTATTTTAATTTACGAATTTTACCACAAAAGAAATCTCATTATAAATCAATGCACATTTAACTAATAAACATTAAATGTTTAAGTGAAAGTCTTCGGGCTAATGCTAGCCACCTTTTGCAGTATATAAACAGTAATATGGGTAAAGATATTACAAATTTGTCAGTAAATTGACACACATAAGATATTTGATGATAAATATTTATTTTAATTTCATCTGATAGGCAACTTGTTATTTACTTTATGTGTTATTTATTATATTCATTTTTTTGCTGAGTAAAAATATATAGAGCTATAAATTTATTTGCATTATATTGTATTGTAAATAAGAAGCGTTCATCAAAAGGTTATTTTAAATATCTTAAAATTATTTATTTCAATCATTTTAATTCTGGGTTAAAGACAAACTTTCGTGTTTCCTGTATGGAGTAACATAAATATTCCATTAAATGAAAATAGTCATATATCAGGCGTAGAACCTGGATACCATAATAGACATAATAATTTTGCATTTAAAAATTAAAAACAAGAAAAGGAAACTGTAAAATCAAATAAAAGTAATTTTTATTTTAAAATAAAGGTTTTATTGAGTATTTTAAATAAAATGCTTAACACATATATATAAAAAAAATGATGTTAAATAAATGTGGTCATTTTTTTAAGTGATACATGTGACTGAATTTTATTTTTTAATATCATATACGTGTATATACTGTTCTTGTCCCCATTTTTAATAAAAAAATATATGTAAATAAAAAAAAATGTATGGGCATTTTCAAACCCAACCCGAATCTTGACTTATCAAGACGGTGATAAGTCACGACTTTCAGAATGAACTGGATTGATTATAAATAACGTATTCATGCATAAATGCTTCCCACAAAGTCTTGCATATTAATATTATTACCTATTTTATTTAAACTCAAATAAAAATTTAAAAAACCACCAGCACAGTCAATAAAATAAACCAAACTTTTACTTATATGCGTAACTTGTGTTGGGTTCTGATTGTTAAGTATTTTCAAGTACTTTTCAAATTTTCAAGTTTTTTCAAGTAAAAACAAATTATTCTCTTATTGCTGCAAAGTTTCTTGAATATTGAAAACGAAATATTATATATATGCAATTGACTTTCGATCAACTTAAGATTTAATGTGATGGAATAATTCCATTAATTATTATTGGATCAAAAAATTGAGTTAATATTTATTAATGGAAATGTAAATGGAAATTTTTTAATTAATATACGCCCTGTTTTGCTGAATATTAAATGGAGGGATAACGAATATTGACATTTGCAAATTAATATTTGACTTTTTACATGCAAGACAATGTCATTGAAAGTAAAATGTATTTATCCTATTCTTAACATTTCTTAATTGATGAGAAATTGTTATAAATGCTTCCTAGTAGAATTATAATTTTATATTATTATTATTAAGATTTTAAACAGTGTTTTAAAAAAGATTTTAAATTAATTCTGATTTCTATATACGTAGACGAATCAGTCAGTAGAAGGAACGATAAAAATTTCAGCCACAGAAATACTAATACCCATATTTCCTTTGTAGTTTTAGCATAAATTAAAAATACAAAAGTTATGTTTAAATGACTGCGTGGTTTATATTACATTTGCAGATTCATTTGCAATAAAAGTGTAAAACTTAGAGCTCGAAGGTATGAAACAGCAATTTGCCACCTAAGCTTAGAATTTTATGGGTAAACTTTTGCGATAAACGAAGAAATATGGTTTGTAAAATAAATTATTAAACTATTATTTTATTGCTCATTAAACTGATAGATACGAATGCAGAATTCATTTATTCTTATAACTCATTATAATGATTAAAATTTCGTTGCAGCATGACTTCTGTCGTATATTTTGGTTGTGAGTATGCTTTATTTCCTTTATAAAATAATTACTTTCATATCTTATATAAACGTCATAAAAGAGGTGTTTAAGCCTGTACAAAGCCCGTACAAAAAGACTCTTGAGCTTATATTTCACATGGAGAAGTAATTTCTTTTTCATCCAATTTTATTGCGTTATTTAACTTCAAAGAGCTATCTTTATGTAACAAACGCGTTAGAAGTATTCGAATGACTTGTTCATTTAAAGAATACAATATAGGTATGTATAGGTATCAATTTTCACATTGATCCGTTTTTATTCAAAAATTATTTGTATAAGAATAAAATGATGTTAATTATTTAAATTTAATTAAGCTTTTTATTGATACTCTTAAACTGAAGGATAAATTATATATACATATTATATATCCAAAATAAAACTTTTTAACAATGAATGTAAAATATAATGTAATGAAATTAAGTTTTAATATTTAAACGAATCCACATCTTAAAACTAAACGAAGACGAAGTCCAAAGAGATGGAACTAATTTAAAAATATGTTTGCTATACAATCAAAGTTTTACAAAAGCTTTAGAAACTTTATAATAACAAAAGTAGATATTTTTAGAGGAATCTTTTAGTATTTTATTTTAATTTTATCTAAACAATCCCTATTTTTTAAATTAGATATATTATTTTATGTATCGAGGACAAAAATGATTTTGTGATGACATTATTCTTGAAAGCGTCTCACGACTAAAATATTAAAATGAATAATTTATTTGACTTAATTATTTTTTGAATTTTTCTCCCAAAAAGCTGCCTTTGTTAAATATAAAAGAATATTTTTTGGCATAATATTAATACGTGTATTTTATTGGGTTTTAATGAATTCCTCGGTATTTTTAAATATTTTCGTAGACTTTGATATATAGTATATAACTAAATTAACAATATATGTATGTATAATTATTTTGTCAGATGCAGTTGTTATTTATTCTTCTTCTTCTACTTGGCAATTTCACAGCTTTAGCCAGGGTCTGCCTTATATATTGTGAAAAGTTTTGGCTAATTGTTTTTACGACCGGCCGCCTGCCTGACTTCAACCCTCTTTGGGAATGTATTAATCAGTGATGTCTAATACTCTTAGAAAGTACATATGACTCGGAAAAATCACATTGGCACTTGCCCGGGCCAGGATCGAACCCGCGCCCTGAGAGTCGGGCCTTTTAACCACTAGGCCACCAGTGACTTTTAGTTGTTTTTTACTCTATAATTCATAATTAAATAATTGGAACATATTTAGACACTTCTTAAATTGATTATTTCAAATAGGAAATAAAAGAAAGAAAAGAGTATGTGACGTCAATTGAAGATATTTATCAATGAAATGGTGTCAAACACTTATAGGTATGTAGGTAAATAATATGATGTGTAATTAATTTGTTAAAATGATTAAAAAAAGGTTTCTTATGCTTTTAATAAGATATAATTTTATGTGGGCAACAACTATATATACAAGTACTTGTCAGAAGGCAAGTTGATAGAAGAATAGACTTATCTTGATAAATTAAATTTAAGATTTTATTTCTTTGTACAATATGAAGAAAATACATCTCGTTTGCCCGTGGTCACGGTTACTGAAAAGTAAACGAAACGTCGGAGTAGGTATTTTGTACAATACTAAAATGCGCGTAGTATAATTCGAACATTATTAGCTTCATTTAATCTGAAGAATGTTTGACGAACAGTTATAAAAAGTGGGCTTCTTTCAATTTCGACTCAACTAAGCTTGAAATGTGTAATAAATAGTTTTAAAATGTTAAATTAGTGACTAATGAACACATCCTTTGACTTTTACTATTCCTTCAAGATAATTTTAGTTTTGGTGTCATTTAAGTAGTTTTTAAGAGGAGTTGAAAGATATGTTTTGGTATATATGATTTGGTAGATATGAGTTTTATAAATAAATCTCCTTCATTAATGTTATGTGCACTGAAAATAACATAGCATGATATCCTTGGGGGTCAATAATAATTTTAATCGTTTAAGTTACATAGCTTATTTGAGCAAACTACCAGTTGACTTAAAGAATGAAACTTTCGGAACGACATTTATCAAATTAAAAATTTCTTAATATTTATAAACAAAAAATATATTTATACTTTTGTAATTAATTATCATTTAAATACTCTCAGAAAGTACATATGACTCGGAAATAATCACATTGGTAGTATTGCAGAGTTTCGAAATCGCAGGATTATGATATGATATCAGTCAATTAATGGACGTAAAAACATTGATTGTAGCAATAATATGTTAGTATAAGTCTCTTTTAATTTAATTTCACTACCAATCATAAATTGTAGACTTACAACATGTATAAATAAAGATAAATTACATTAAGGTACATAATTAAAAGTAATATTATTGAAAGTCATAATTCAGTATGGAAACAGGTGAACCTCTGAGTAATTATTTAGTAACTCCATACTATAGTATAAAACATTCATATTTATTTATAATTAAAACCAGCCAGAGTTTTAATTATTATAGAACAGAGATTAAATAAGTTTAATTTATATAATAATTATATAGCTTTCGACGTTAAAATTAATAATGTATTGATGTTTGAGATTCAATGGAAATAGTTAACCAACTATTGCATTGAAAGGCAATGGCACGACGAACCATTAAATGTAAGTGTAATTAATTAAAAAGAGACGCAAGATAGTCGGAGTCCAACTTCAATACACATAAAACGACATATATAAACATGATCTTGCCTAGCTAGTACTAAATAGAATAAGAAAAACAAATATATAGACGTTCATTTTCATCATATGGAATATAAATTAGGGTATCAATTAATATATTAGTTATTAATACTGTCTTTAAGTACCTTATATTATCTTA